AAAATTAAAAAAAAAAACAAAGAAGAAGCATCAGAAAAAAAAAAAAATGAAAATAAAATAACGAAAATATTATATAAAACAAATTTTCCAAAAACCAGCATATTATTCGCCTAAAAATATGCAATTGTATACTCACAAAGCAGTATGCAATATTATATGGTATATACATGTAATATAGGTTTATAGGTATGAAAGTATGTGCATTTATATTGTGCATGAATAAAATATTATATTTGAGTAAATGTGAAACAAGCACTATGTATGTATATGTAATTTTTTAGTTTCAACAAAATGTTAACTATACTACCAGATAAATAAGCATAAATATAGGCGCACATACTATAACATTAAGTTCTGTATGTATGTTAAATACGAAAATGTACGAAATATACGAAAATAGAGAAAAAAAAAGAAGTACATAATCTAGATTCAGTAAAATATTTTCTTTAAACTTTAAAAATAAAAAAGAGAATAAAATATCATCAACTATATTGTACATAATACTGTTATACTAATACATATATACAGATTTTTTACACCATACAAAAATAGAATATAATGTTTACTAGATATTCTGACTTAATAGTATACTTATATACGAATACATTATATATATGTATTAAAAATATCCTTTATTCCTTTATACCGAACATTATTATACTCCATACAATATTTAGTCGTTTCACAGTTGTAAGTTTTTTGATATTTACAACAAAAAAAAAACCCTAAAAAATTATACAAAATTTTGCATTGCAAGGCTAAATTTACATACATCCATACAAATGTGTATGTCTGTATGTATGCCTATATATTTTATATCCTTTTACTTCTACATTTAATACTACTATTTTATTATTTTTATTCTCGTAAGTAAGTAACTCTCACTTACAATGTAATACATTTTGATAATTTTGGATTTTATTATTAAACATGCGCAATAATTTTAAATAATTAAGAATTTCGTATAACAGTTTTTTATTCTCTCTTCTTTTATGTTTTAAATGTGTATGTGTTTAGTTTGTGTGTTTGTGTACTTTGATAAAGAAAAATACCGATGCTAAAATAATGATGATAAAATAGAAAATTTAACGATATTACGTTATAAATGTATTTATAAAGAGGCCAGTAAAATTCTATAATATTCTGTATAAGTATAAAAAACAATGAAGTATACTTAATACACTGTACCGTTATTTTCACTTCTATCCTCTGTATAAAAAATTTATTCTTTACCTATATATTTATAATAAGAATAAAAATATGAGTATGAAATTTATTACTGTTATACAATTTTTGACTTTACAAAGCTTGTTTTTTATCAAAACAATAAAACTTTGTTATAATAAAAATATGTACGTATTAATATAATATCTATATAGTAATAAAATTGTCAAGGAAAATTGTTATAAATTTATATACAAATTTATATATGTGTTAAAACATTCACACATACGAGTATACACATATAAATTTATACAACGATTAATTCGTGTGTTTTAACAATCTTCGTTAATTTTCATCGATTTATACCAGAAAATTTACAGAATTATTATGTATACACACACAATATAAAAGTTATTTTCCGTATAATAATATTATTATTGTCTCGGGATATTTTAACAATATGTATTTTATTTACGTATGTGTTTATTTGAATTAAAAAGATATTGTTATACTGTTATATATTATTATATGTACTCATATATTTTCTCATAGCAAAAATAATAAAGAAAAAACACATTAAAGGAAAAACAAAAAAAAAACCATCTATAAAAGAGCAATATAATGGTATTTGATTTTTCCGGAAAATCAAAAGATATTGACACTCAGAAAATTTTGTTAAATTATTATTCAATTACATTGAATGAAATTGCTTTAGTAATTAAAACTATTAAGCATTAAGTTGTGTTAATAAGAAGCTTAAGGAATTTGGCACGAAGGAATTATGTTGTTTATTTTGAGGGATTTATGTTATTTATTTTTGTATAAAATTTATTAATAAAAGTAATTTTTTTATAATACAGTTATATTAAACGTCAACTCTTATCATAAGTGAATTATAAGAAGAACAGTTGGCAAAAACAGTAACATGACAAATGAATAATGAGTAATTTAATAGATCTAGTGCATTTTTCTCAACAATTTTAGTTGATTTTAATAATTTCTAAACAAACCAAAATAACGTATACAACGTATACCCATCATACACTGTTTTATTTCTCAACAGACGAAATTTTTGTCAAAAGTTGGAAACTTTCAAATTAATTGTATAATTAATTTTCTCAAAACATTTTACAAGAGAACCTTTCGTAAATAAAATAATTTGCACTAAATTTAACTTCAATTATCTATAAGTGTATATTAAAAATCTTTGTTTCAAATTTTTTTATACTCGTATAAAAGTTTCATTATTGCAAATATACAACTTTTCCATTTTTGTATAATAAAATTTATTCTTATATACACAGATAAAACGAAAAAATTAGATTCATTTTTAAATTTCTTGTATATGTATAAGTAAATTATAATATTTGCAATCCTTTATAACAAAAACCAACAAAATGTCACATTCATCCTTACACAAACACTATATACAAAATATTCCAATATAACAATTTAATATCCTCCCTTCTATATTATATTAAATTATTATTTGAAAAAAACAAGAGAGAATGAACTAAAATGTTAAGTTATTTTTATTAATTTTGTTATACAAAATTTGTATACCAAATTCATTTCAATTCAATGAAAAAAAAAATTTCTTTTATATTTTTGTATACCAGAAATCCTGCATATAACACATATAGAATATGAAAAACGAAACTTTATAGATATTTTTAATATGTGCGAAAAAGTTCACAAAAAAAAAAATTTTTTTCAGAACGGGTGTCGAAAATTTTCGGTTCCTATAGAAATAATTTTTAGAGATTAGTATATGAAAAAAAAAATATTTAAAAAAATTAAAATATTAAAAAAAATATTTAAATAAAATTTCAAAAAAAAATTTTGCATAAGTGAATTGAAATAAAATGGAAAAATTAAAAATGAATTTTCGATTTCTTTTTTTCCAATTATAAAAGAAAAAGTAAAGAACCAAAAAGAAAGAAAAAAAAAACATACAAAAAGCAAAAATGAAAATTTTATTCTTTTTTTTTAACCATCCTTTTTTCGAAAAGGCAAATTACACAGTATAAAGCATATATGAGCTAAAAAAAAAAGAAACACAAAAAAGAAAATAAAAACGAAAAAAAGGAGTAGTGAATATAGAAAAATTACTGGATTTTTTTTAATTAAGAATAAAATTAACTTTTTAAAATTATAAAATAACAAGGATATTGGAATTATTTGAATGTATTTAAAGAAAATTTACATTTAAAATTAAAATACTTGAAAAAATATTAAACAATTCCGAAAAGAATTATAAAAAAAAAAGTGCAATTCTAAAATTTTGTATAAATTATGGGAAGAAAATGAATACATACAAAGACGAAAAAGATAAAGAAATTTTCAAAATTAAAATTTTCTAAAGTCATAAACGAAATTTAAACGAAAATATTTGAGAAAATAATTGGATTAAATAAAAAAAATCGGAAAAGAAAATAAAATAAAGTCAATGTTATAATCAAAGAAAAATGAAATTTTTCAACCATTTTTATATTTAAAAAAGAACCCATCAAAAAAATATTCGGACTTTTTTTTATTTCTTTCTGCCCATTTAATTTTTATTGCAAGGAAAGAAAAAAATAAAATTCTTGTTTTTTTTTTTTTCCTTAATTCTACATTTTGGCTGTCGTTCAATTTCGTCGTTCTTTTTCAATATCTTACATGTATTGAACAGCACAAATACAACTGTACAAAATTTTTATACATATTTATAATGTATACCAATTTATACCAGTATTATATTGATGGTGTTAAAGCTACATCATTATATTATCCTTGGCGCAGGATCAACATTTTTTCTCATAACAAGATATTAAAGGATACTATTATTTCATTTCATCATCATCATCATTATTATCATTGTCGTCAAGAATCATGAAGATAGAATTTTAAATGAGAAAAAAGAACGAATCTCAACAAAAAAATTATAATATATAAATGTATTATATGTATGTATACATATATTTGTAGCCTATATATATGTTAAAAATAAATGAGAACGAGAGAAAAATGTATAACAGATTAAAATAATATTATATGGTATAATAAAGAATTGAATCGAGCATCATAATAAAAAATATAACAGATATAAAGTATTATAACAGACAGGAAAAATATAACGAAAGAACGAACCAATACAAATGCAAAAACAACAGTAAAAAAAAATTATATAGAGAGAGAAAAGTTAAGGAATTTTCTTATATTTATTTTCCTCTTTTATTATTATTATATACAAATACGGGAATTATTAAATATTAAGTAAAATATTTAAATATTTAAAGAAATAAATTATATTCTTATATATATACTTATTTTTTGTAAAAAAAAAAATTATAATTAAAAATAAGTTTTTTTTTTGAATTTCTAAATAAAATTAATTGCAACAATTAATCTAATATCTTAATTACACAAAAAAAAAGTCATTTATACATATATATACAAAAAAAAAAGTATATATAATTTGTACATAATTTGTATATATAGAACAAAAAAATCTTCCAAAAATGTTAAAACAAATTTATATAAAAAATATTAATAATTTTTTTAATTTATTATTATTTTTATATTTAATACCAATTGTATTAACAATTAATAATAATAATAATAGTAATAATAATAGAAATAATAAAAATAATACAAATAGTTATATTAATAATAATATTAATAATTATTTTTATAATAATAATAACAATAATAATAATAATCATAATATTAATAATAATAACAATTATAATAATTATAATTTATATAATTTAAGTTTATTAGAAAATCAAATACGTTATGATACACCAGATGATTGTAATTTACAATTAATTAATTTTAATAATTTAAATGATATATCATTAATATGTAATTTACGTACAATAAATAGTGAATTTGAAACAACAAATTTTAGTGTTATACCATCTGAACATACAATTGATTTAAATGTTATATGTAATGATGATATTATGACAAAAAGTTATTTAGAAACAAAATCATTTTCACATTTAATTAATTTAAAATATTTAACAATAAAATTTTGTAAAATATCAAAATTTTATCCAGATATATTATATGGTTTAGATAATTTAAAAAATTTTACATTAAATACAAATAATATTATATGGGCTGATTTTAATTTAAATATTGATTATAATTCATTTAATTATGTAAAAAATTTAGAAAGTTTAGATTTAAGTAAAAATAATATATGGTCATTACCACAAAATATATTTTGTATATTAACACGTTTAACATTTTTAAATATAAGTGAAAATCGTTTACAAGATATTAATGAATTAGGTTTTCGTGATAAATTAAATGACGATATAAATAATAATAATAATAATAATAGTACTAATAGTAATAATAATGATAATGATAATAATAATAATGATAGTAACATTAATAATAATAATATAAATGATAATAAAATTTTATCATCTTCATCATCGTCCTCATTATTATCATCATCATCAGTATTGGGAACAGGATCAGGTGGCTCAATAATAAAATCAATTACTAATAATATAAATATATTAGGTTATAGTAATAATGATGATGATAATAATAATAAAAATAATAATAATAATAATAATAAAAATTCAACTATTATAAAACCATTAATAACATCAACGAATATTATTAAGAATAATATTGATAATAATAATAATAATAATAATAATAATAATAATAATAATAATAAAAAGAAATTTATTAATAAAAATAATATAACATTATCATCATCATTATTATCACCATCATCATTAATAACATCATCAATTGTAACAACAACAACAAAAACAGCTACAATTATAATACCAACAGTATGCTCATTGGATTTAGAAATTTTAGATTTATCATATAATAATTTTGTATTATTACCAGCTAATGGTTTTGGTGTATTAAAAAGACTGAAATTTTTAAAATTAAATAATAATGAAATATCAATGGTAGCTGATAAAGCATTAAATGGTTTAAAAAATTTAAAAATATTAAATTTAAATGCAAATAAAATTGTTTCATTACCATCTGAATTATTTATAGATGCTATTAATTCAATACAAGAAATATATTTACAAAATAATTCAATAACAGTATTATCACCAAAATTATTTTTTAATTTAACCCAATTACAAGCATTAGATTTATCATTAAATCAAATAACATCAACATGGATTGATAAAAATACATTTTTAGGTTTAATTAGATTGGTTCTATTAAATTTATCACATAATCGTATTACAAAATTACAACCAGATTTTTTTACAGATTTATATACATTACAAATATTAAATTTACGTCATAATCAATTAGAATATATTGAATCAAATACATTTGCATCAATGAATAATTTACATACATTATTATTATCATATAATAAATTAAAATATTTGGATGCATTATCATTGAATGGTCTATTTGTATTATCATTTTTATCAATTGATAATAATCAAATAAATGATATACATAATGATTCATTTAGAAATTGTAGCTCATTACAAGATATTAATTTAAATGGTAATCAATTAAAAATTGTACCATCAGCATTAAAAAATATGAGATTATTAAGAACATTAGATTTGGGTGAAAATTTAATAACAAATATTGAAGATAAATCATTTGAAGGTTTAGATAATTTATATGGATTACGTTTAATACAAAATTCAATACAAAATATTTCATCAAAAATGTTTAAAGATTTACCAAATTTACAAATATTAAATTTAGCACATAATCATATAACATTTATTGAACCGAATGCATTTTTAAATACAACAAATATTCAAGCTATACGTTTAGATGGTAATCATATAGTTGAAATAAATGATTTATTCTTAAAAATACCAAGTTTATTATGGTTAAATATATCTGATAATAATTTATATCAATTTGATTTATCACAAATACCAAAAAATTTGCAATGGTTAGATATACATAAAAATGATATAAGACAAATAACAAATTTAAAACAAAAATCAAATGAATTACATTTACAAACATTTGATGCAAGTTTTAATTTAATTGAATATATTTCAGCTGAATCAATACCAAATAGTATAGAATTATTATTTTTAAATGATAATTTAATAACATCAGTTGAACCGAATACATTTTTAGATAAACCAAATTTAACAAGAGTTGATTTATATGCAAATCATATTCGAACATTAAATACAAAATCATTTCGTATACAAGAGGTATCATATAATAGACCATTACCAGAATTTTATATTGGTGGTAATCCATTTACATGCGATTGTAATATTGAATGGTTACAACAAATTAATACACATGGTTCACGTCAATTCCCAAGAATAATGGATTTAGAAACAATTTATTGTAAATTATTAAATACAAGAGAAAAATCTTATATACCATTAGTTAAAGCAAAATCAAAACATTTTCTATGCCCATACTTAACACATTGCTTTGCATTATGTCACTGTTGTGATTTTGATGCATGTGATTGCGAAATGATATGTCCAAGTAATTGTACATGCTTTCATGATGAAAGTTGGTTTACAAATATTGTTGAATGTTCATCAGCAAATCATACAGAAATACCAAGTGTTATACCAATGGATACAACTGAAGTTTATATTGATGGTAATAATTTTGTTGAATTATCTGGACATAGTTTTTTAGGGCGTAAAAATTTACAAATTTTATTTGCAAATAATTCAAATATTCAAGCAATATATAATACCACGTTTAATAGTTTAAAACGTTTAGAAATATTACATTTAGAATATAATAAATTACATCGATTATATGGTAATGAATTTAATCAATTACAAAATTTACGTGAATTATTCTTACAATATAATAAAATAAATTTTATTGGTAATGGTACATTTGCCCGTATGCCAAAATTAGAAATATTAAGATTAGATGGTAATAAATTGGTACAATTTGAAATATGGCAATTATCATTAAATCCATTACTTTTACAAATTGGATTAGCTGGAAATGTCTGGTCATGTGAATGTAGTTATTTAAGTCGTTTTCGTACATTCTTACAAGTTAATTCTGAGAAAATAATTGATGCAAATAGTGTTGCATGCATTTATAATAATATGTCAAGTATATTAAAAGAAAAAAATGGTACAAAATGTACATTACGTGAAGGAATTTCTACATATGTTCGTGGATCTGAAATTGAAAATTTATTACCATTAATGTTGGTTGGTACATGCGCATTTGTATTTTTCTTTGGTGTAATTTTAGGTTTATTCTGTTATCGTCAGGAATTATGCGAATGGGCTCAAACAAGTCGTCTTGTCAATTTATGTTTCTGTAATGGTGATTATATTGAAAATTATCATAAGGATCGTTTATATGATGCATATATAGCATACAGTCATCATGATGAACATTTTGTAAATCAAATTCTAGCTGATACATTAGAAAATGATATTGGATATAGATTATGTTTACATTATCGTGATTTAAATTTAAATCTTTATATAACAGATGTTATTTTAGAAGCAGTTGATAGCTCCAGGGAAGCATTAATTGTTTTATCTAAAAATTTTCTTTATAATGAATGGACACGATTTGAATATAAAAGTGCTTTACATGAAATTATTAGTAAACGTTATAAACTTGTATTTCTTTTATATGGTGATTTACCACAACGTGATCTCGATGCTGATATGAGACATTATTTACGTACAAGTACATGTATTGAATGGGATGATAAAAAATTTTGGCAGAAATTACGTTTAGCCTTACCAAAACCAAGTCAAAAGAATCGTCAAACTCAATCTAGTCAAGGTGATACTGGTGTTGTTGGAAATCAACCAACTGGTACAAATATTAGTGGAATTATTAGTCAACATCAAGGACAATTTTATAAAAATCGTAATACAGCAAATACAATATATAATACAACACAACATCCACATCATCATCATCATCTTCAACATCATGATTATTCAACATTAGATCGTAATCATCATCAAAATACTATGACAACAAAATCAAGTGGTGGTGTTTATGATAATTGCGGTAATTTTCAACGTATGTCTGGAACTGCAACAACATGTTCTAGGAAATATAACAGTAATTTTGATACAGCAGCATGTAATAATTATAATACAATATCAAATAGTCAAAAAAATAATTTAAGTATTAGTACAATTGATAAAAAACATGAATATGCAATACCATCAAATTGTATATTACAACAACAAAATGCATCTAATGGTGACGGTGGAAATTTAAATCCATCATCTAATTATGGTTTAAATTTTGAACATCGACAACATCCATTTAATTCAACTACAAATGGCTTAGATTTTTTATTAACAAGTAAATGTGGTACAGGAGGTGGTGCTGGCGGTGGTATTATTACTGGAAATAATGACATTGGACCAAATAATTTTGGTATTGGAACATCATCAACATTACCACCAAAAGGTTGTAGTAGTAATAATGCAAGTGGTATTCATAGTGGAGCTGGTACAATTGGTATTAATAATAGTGGAATTAGTAATACAAATCGACAAAATAATAATTTAAATCATAATATTATAAATAATATTAATAATATTAATAATAACAATAATAATAATAATGATATTGATAGTAATCCAACAATATCAAATTCAGCAATTTCAATATGTAATTTATCATTAAGTCAGAGTGTTAGCTCATCTGGTAGTCTAAATAATTCTCATTTAAATAATTTCAATTCAAATAGCTGTGCAGGTCGAATTAGTGGTATAGGTATTACTGGTGGTGGTGGTGGTGGTGGTGGTGGCGGTGGTATTGATAGCAGTAATATTATTGTTGGATGTAATAGTAGTAATATTATTAATAATACAAAAAATTTTAATAATTCATCATTATATTGTAATAATTGTAATGAATTATTAAATGATAATTCAAATATATGTTGTAATTGTAATAATCGTAATATTGATACATTAAATAAAAGTAAAAATATAACAACAAATTCAACATCTACAACAGCAACAACAACATCAGGAAATAATAATATTAATTGTAAATCAAATAAAATGATGCAAACATTATGGTCGTAACACTAATAAAATTAATATACTATAATATTACAATAAGTTATAATGAGAATAAATTTATTAATATATTATTAGAATTTTTAAAATTAAATTAATTAAATTATATTATATATATAAATAAAATTAAAAGCAGCCCATATATAAGAACCAAAGATTATTAATTAATTTTCATTATTATACTATTATATTATACTAATTAATAATAATAATATAATAATATTTATAGATATTTAAAAAATATTATAAAAAATAATAAATTAAATTAATTAAATTACAAACGTTATTTATATTTATAAATCATTGCTTTAGCATAAAAGTTCCGTAAATTACACATGAAATGATAAAATAAAATTCCAATATTATAAAAAAAAAATATTAAATTATCAAAGAAAAACAAATTCATTTTCTTTTTATAAATATATTAATTTGTATAATACAATTGCCATTCATAAAATAAAATATTTATATTATTACAAACGAAAATATAATTAATTATTATACAAATAAATTGTTGTAAAAGGTATATACAGTAAACAACAACAAAAAAAAATTAAATGAATGAATATAAATTAAATATTATATAAGAATTAAATAATAATTTCTACATATACATACATGCAAATATATAAAGATCAAAAATGTATATAAGAAATTAATACTTAAAAATTCAAAAGAAAATAAAAATATTAATTTAATTTATTTATTATAAAATATTCAATTATATAAAAATTAATTTAATATATTTATATAATAAAATAACAGATTTAATTTTATACAATACAATTCCATTATATTATAAAATCACAATTATTATTTATTAAAAATACAAAAATCATCAACAAACAAAAACAAAAGAAAGTTAAAATATAGAATATTTTAAAAATAATAAAATTTAAAACAAAAAAAAAATAGAAAATATTAAAGCAAATGAAAAAATACAAAAAAAAAAATTAAAAATTCAAATTTATTATACAAATACCGTTAAAAAAAATAATGTTATAATAAAAGTTACAAATCCACAAAAACACACACCTATACTTGTAAAAATCAATAGAAAATTAACATAAACAGAATAGAGAAAGAAACAAGAATTTTAAATTAGAAACAGAATTTTGTATATAAATTGTACATAAATTAAAATATTCTTTTATAAAATGAAAAATAAATTATTTTTTATTTTATTTTAAAAATAATTTTTTTAAATTTACGTTTTCATAAGAATTACAATGAAAAAATAATTAGTTGTGTTTTTTTATAAAGTTCTACAATTTAATATAATTGTTATATTTTAATATTATAAGTTCGTCCCCGCTTAATTGCATCGAAAATACTTTAAATTTAAAATCAGCAATATTATATTTAATATATCTAATTCAGCTTATGAGTTGTAATTGCTGAATTTAGCAGATATACGGTATTACTTAAAATCACAAATATATTTTTTTCTAAAAAATATAAAATGCATAATAGAATAAAAAAAATTTTTGATTTCTATATTAGTAAATTTTTTAGCGAAGCTGCGATAAAAAAAGTGGGCAACAAAAGTAGTCGATTGCATTTTTAATTCGACTGCATTTCCAATTAGATTCTTGCAACTGATATTTTTCGTACTACTAAAGCTCTATAGGATATATGAATTTAAGACTTTATAGAAATAACAGTTGTGGTCAAATTAGTGATATGCTAGTGTTGATATTTCTCGTAATAATAGTATCGGTACTGGCAGAAATGTAACATTGTTGTTTTACTGTTATTATCCAATCACAGATTATTTATTTTCTCATTTTTGAGAAATGCAGAAATTTGAAAAATTAAATTATAACCGGGGTATTAAATTATATACCAAATTGAACAATAAATAAATCGGGTTATTTCTGTTAAACTTTAATGATTCCAAATACATATAATATTATTACAATTTGTTAAATTCAACACTTATATGAATACTGTAGAGTATTCAAATAAAAATACTTCAAATATCAAATTAAAAGCATTAAAAATGAAAACGCAGTCAATATCATAACGCAGAACAAAAAAACATTAACGCAATTAAGTGGGAAGCATTTAACTAACACGGTTTAACACGGGTGTTATATTACATGAAATATTTAACATTATATTGTGTTTTAATCCTTTTATAAAAAAATTCAATTAATATTAGTGCCAATTTTTTATTAATTTTCGTCCGAAATATTGAATTTTTTTTTTTGTTTCAATAAATAAAATTATATGTATAAAATTCATATAAATAAGTATATATATAATTTTTGTGATAAATAATATAATTTTCAATATTATTCTGTTCTACAATAATATACCCACTTATAATTTATATTAAATTTCAGTATATTAAAAAATATAATTAATTTTTAATTATTTACTATATATACAAAAAGCAAAAGTTAAAAAAATACACAAATATTGTACTGCCAAAAACCAAAAAACAAAATTTTTATGTTATACTTTTTTATAATTATTATAAAAACTTAATAATTAACAATAAATAAAATTGTATATTATTTATAACACATAAAAAATGTACTTTAATAAAAAAAAAATAAATTTATATAATTAATGATAAATAGAAGAAGGAAAAATAGAAAACTTTTCAAAAGAAAAAAATATTAAGAAATAAAATTGCCTGTAAAATAAGAAATTTTATTAACAAAAATATAGTTACTAATTATATTAAAAATTTAAAATTAAAGATATAAATAATATAAAAAAACAAAAAAAAATTAAGAAACTTATTAAGAACAGGAATTTATTACATTAACAATAATTTTATTTTGTTTCAAACTCTAATGTATTACAATTATAGAACAATTTTTTTTTTTAAATTTATTAATTTTAATTAAATTTTATTAGTATATAATCTTATATACATTACGTATATTTTATATTATATATATGTATATATAAATATTTTATATTAAGGCCGTTTTCCAATATATCAAATGCCTTCAAACTTATATTAGTCATGAATTTCAATTCGACATGACGTGTACGTGTCATAAATTCTCATATGCGTTACCAACGCAAATGAATATTATTTTATTTTTTTTTTGAATTTTTTTAAATGCTATGATGCATAAGTGATGTTTATATATGCGATAATATTTTATTTTTATTTTGAAGTTTTTAATTTTTAGTTTTATTGAAATAATTTTGAAAATTTCATTTACAAAAATTGTTTATAATTGCAGATGATTGTCTTATTTGCAAAATCAAGGGAAATGACGTGATTAACATATGATCGTCAAATCTTTGACATATTGGGAAACATGCTAATTTTTTAATTATTTATTAATTTATTGTAAATAAAAAAATTGATTTTAATAATTTTTTTAAAAAATATTTTCAAACCAAGCCAAGCCAATTCAGAAATAAAAAAGCAAAAATGAAAAATAAATAAAAATATTCAAAAAAAAAACAACAAAATACAATATAATATTCGTATATTACAGTTTAAAAATAAATAAATCAAAAAACAAAAAATAAAATTTATATAGAAATTCAAAAAAGAGAATATAACACAGCCAATCAGGTCACAAATGCAAAAATTTATTTAAAATGTAAATATAAAAATTTATTTATTAAAAAAATTATGTAAAAAAGAACAGAGACTAGAAAAAATTAAAAAAAAAAAATTGTTATGTATTTCTATATACATAACAACAAGAACACACAAAAAAAATGTCGAATTTACGAAAAACAAAAAACCTATAAAATAATTATATAATTATAAACAATTTTAACATAAAAAACAAAATAGCAAAAAATTTAATGAAAATTAAAATGTTTAAAAAAATTGATATTGAACTATACAAAAAAAAATATTTTCAAAATTCATTGCAATTTACAAATATTTTTTAAATTAAATAATTTAAAAATTTTTTTTTTATAATTTTAAAATATTTTTGCATATAAGTATTTATGATGAAATTCGGCCATCTATACCAAAATGCAGATCTAACGTCACATTATCTAATTTACCAACTTGTAATTTTAATTGCTGAGCGAGTTAGAAAACTAATGTCACTTTGATCTGCAATTTGATGTTTAATTCTTCGGTTTGGGTGTAGAAGGTAAAAATGTTATCCATAATTCTGTTCTACACATTATTAGAATTATTATTAGAAATTTTATATACAAGCAATTAATATAGCAAAAAAATAATCCCTCATATTCTGTTAGTAGCATTAGTTGACGTCATGGGTTATTATTTAAAAAAAACTTGGAATTTTCCGAAAAAAATCAATTCCAAAATTTGGAATTCTATACAGAAAAACATAATTCTTTTCAATAAAATTCCATTGCCTCAAATGATGCCACTAACAGAATATTGCTGATCATGGTAGATGTGCAATATATTTTTGAAAATATTGTTCTATAAAAGCAAAACATATTCATATAATTTAACTAGCGCTACACCCATAACAATTTCACTTGTTTCGCAACATTCTCTTTACGCAACCATTAATACCGTGCAGTGAATTTTGACGATTGAATTTGTGATAAAATCACTATTTTAGCAATTTATTTTTACTAAAAGTTTCTACTGCAAAAATGTGCCTAAATAAGCATAATATATATATATAGAACAATTAAATATTTTTTTTTTCGAATTTAGTATATTATTAATTTAACAACATATTCGTTTGCCTTTATAATTAATATTGAGGCAATTTATATTTTAAAAATTTTCTATTTTATGTTGTCATTTGCTTATATATGAAATCACGAATTCGACTTATTTAATTAATTATTATTAATTAATCCTCATTTAGAAACCTTTACATACACATTAATATTTTTAAATTTTTCAGTTCTGTTTTTATCACATTGTTAATCTCAATTGTACTGTTTACAATTCACTAATTTAATTTTTCTCATCAATATTGACATTCATTCAATTAATGATTATGAATTGCTTTTTACAACAAAAATTGAAAATATAACAATATCATATGTTAAATAAAACTATAATTAATCTATAAATTATATAACAGTTACAATTATTATACAATTAATAGCAAATATGGTATTAATTTATAGTTATTTTTAGTTATTCTTATTAAATTTGAATACGTATCAAAATATTACTTTGAAAAAAATATTTTACTAAGAATTTTAGTATACACACATTTAGGGTAGTGATTATTATTTTATAAAATTTCAAAATTTATATAAATATGCGTAACGCAAACACTAAAATTCTACACAAATAAAAATTAAACACAAATTTATATACTTCCATATTGAATTCAATAGAAAACGATATTTTTATTTTTCATTGAGTTTTTAACAATAAAACTTAACAATATTTTTCAATATTATTTTCAAAAATAACGACAGGAACAAAAAAAAAATATCCTCAAAACACATTATACAAAAATATTGTGGATTTTTCCTGTCAAAAAATTCCATTTGACAATTAAATTGTCAAACAAGTAATTCTTCTCTCTCACAATAAAAAGAAAAACAATTTACATGCAAAAATTGACTTAATATTGTATAATTCACTCAAATCAAATGACAGCTCTTTATTTAACCTATACAAATTTAGAATTTTGTGAACAAAAGACCAAAAAAAAAAATACAAAAAAAATAAAAAAACCAAAGAATTATGAATGCAATTTTTTCAAACTCAAGTTCAAAAACCTTTTTATCCCTTTCTTTTTTATATATATTTTTAATAATAATTTTAAAAAAGAG